ATAAGTTGTTCTTCTACTTGTAAAAAAATTAATTTTTCATGTCAATTTATTTCAAAAGCTGTAACATAGTATTAATTATTTTCATTAATGCATGAAATGTAGCTCCTGTTTTAGAGTCTCCTACTGCAATTTCAACAATATCAGGAGTAGAATTTAGTTTTACAGCTACAGAGTAAATATTTGAACTTATAGACTGCAAAAGCACAATTGACATACTTGAATCTATAATTGACAAAATATTTTCAAATTTATCAGATAAATCTTTTACACATTCCTCAGAAATCGTATAACTTTCTTGAACAAGAGATGTTAATTTTTCTATTAGGTCCTTACGCTTTTCGTCATTAATGTTAGTCCGCATTTCTGTATGATATTCTGATAATTTAACACCTAACTTAACTTTTTTAATTGCAGTATACTTTTTAATAACTTCTAAGTATTCATTTCCACTGTCCAGCATGATTGGTTCAGTTTCAGATTGCATTTCATTTAAATCAGGAATTATATCAGTTAATTTATCTAATAATTTTTTTGCTGCTTCTTTCTTAGCTTGCTTTTTTGTCTTACCAATACCAACTTCTTGAAAAGTTGCCACTTTACACTGAATGGTAAAAACTTTTGCATGTGGGGGTCCAACATCGCTAATTAATTCATACTTAGGTTCTTCTAAATCATTTTCAACACATAAAGTCTACAATGATATGCATATAAATAGTATTACAATGACAAACGGAATAAAATTAAGAAACATGACTTACTTGTAGAACACCAACAGCATTAACAAATGGTACATTTGGTGGTATTCTCTCTACTTCAGGAACTGTTGCAGGTAAGGGTGTTCTTACAGGTGATTGTGCTGGTGATGCTGGTAGCTGTGGATAATTTCTATTTGCTACTATAATTTCCAATAGTGCTTTTGCAGCTTCATGTTTTGCATCCTTTTTAGAACGTCCTGTACCATTTGCATACATACTACCACATGTAACTCGATATATAAAAGTATTCATATGTGTACCTCCTCCATCGTGTACAAGTTCATATTTAGGCACTATATGTTCTTTTACCATCATTTCTTGTAAAATGGATACAGGTGTTTTACTCATTTCAAATTATTACAAATGTTTTAATTTTGCCTTTGTTAAAAGTTAAAACCAATTTTAAAACTCTTCCTAACTAATTGTATTAATATGCACTATCAAGCATTAAATTCACATTTGTAGTTATACAATTTAGTACCTGTAAGAAGAAAACATAGCAACTTTAAACATATAAATTTAATTGTAAAATATTAAACT